GGTGGACAGCGGCGGCTCCTCCCGCGACGGTGACCTGGCTCCCGGCACAAGCAGGTGTGCCAGGGTAAAGGGCGATCCACGCACTGGGAGGCACAGCCCGCGCCCAGAGTCTCAGCTGCGGCTCTGACCCCAGGACCTCAGAGCGTGGCTGGGTTTAGGGAAGGGCTCTTGTTTCCAATCTATTTTATTGCTAGGCTTTGGCTTTGGGTTTTTTTTTTTTTTTGGTACCAGGGTTCGAACTCAGGACCTTGAGCTTGCAAGGCAGGCCGCGGAACCACTAAGCTAAATTCCGGGCCCTTGGCTTTGTCTTTTGAGACAGGGTCTCACTGGGTAGCCCGGGCTGGCCTTGAACTTGCAGGGATCCTCCTGTCTCAGCCTCTCGAGTGTGGATTACAGGTGAGCAGCAGGCCTGGCCGCTTGTGCACGTCTGACATCTACCTGCTCACACATCTGTAAGTGCCACAGTTTGTCTTTGACCCCCTGATAAAGTGGGGGGTGCTGCTGACATCGCAGAGAGCGCGGCTTTAAGCCGTGTTGGCACAGAGCAGCTCGCCCGGTCCCTTCCGTGTGGAGGGCGCACGGTGCACGTGGAGGAACGTGTGGGAGGCTGAGGCAGGAGGATCCCGAGTTCCAGCCTACACCGGACAACTTAGTGACTTAACAAGACCTTGTGTTACTGTTAAAAAAAAGGGCTGGGGGGCTGGGGACGGAGCTCAGTGTGAAGGCCCCGGGTTCGATTCCTACCACAACAGAGCAGAAGGAGGAGGAGGAGGATGAAGAAAAAGAAAGAGTAGAACAACAAGAAAGAGGAAGAGGAGCAGGAGGCGACCCGCACAGCTGACCTGGCCCTGAAGTTCCGGGCACTGCCCCACCTGTGCCAGGGCAGCTGGCGATGCCTCCTCGGGTGCACACAGGCTGCCACTGCACCAGCAGCCTCCCGGCCTCCCTCCCCAGCCTGGCCTGCTCCCCGGAACCTGGAAATACCTCGAAGCCGTGGACCAGCTGCAAGAGGCCGGCTGGGGACGCAGGCTGGGTGTCCCTGGGGCCATCGCGGGGTGCGTCCTTGGGGCCGGGAGGCCGTGGGTCACGTCCTGCCCAGGACAGGTACTGGCCGGGGACCGCGCTCCGTGGTGCCGGGTCC